CGTCGAGGAGGTGGTGGGACAAGATGCCATGGGTCCTAAGGAGGGAGGTGTAGGGGTGGAAACCTGGGAGGAGGACATGGCTGCATAGCAAGGGCGGGACTCGGGTGAGGACATGCCACCCGTGGAAGAGACAAGCGTGTAGTTGACGCCAACCGAAGAAGGAGAGTAAGCTGGCATAGATGTTGATGAGGGGGGTGGGGAGGGAAGTGCACTGGTACGGGGCTCCAGCTGTGACACGCGGGCCGACAGGGATTAAAAGTCGGTATGGAGGGCCGTGAATTTGGCATCGAATCTGGCCTGCATTTTCTCGAGGAGAGTCAGTGGCCGATCCGATTGGGCGACTGGACCCGAACTGGTGGCCGTAGGGGTGGAAATGTAAGCCGAATCGGCCATGGCATCGTAAGCTAGTAGCGCAAGCCCTTCACTGATGGAGCGGGAGGGGCTCACCGACTCTGCACTCTGCATGGGATCGACAGATGAAGAAGATGAAGATAATGTCGAGGGAGCACCGTGACGAGAGGGACGATCTGTGGCCGAGGTCGGTGCGTCAAAGCGAGCGAGTCGATTGGCGGCACGAGCGTCTCGAGCGCGATTTTGGAGTGCGCGCTGTTGGATGTCACCGGGAGGCAGGATGACACACAAAAGGGGGGTAAGGGACAGCGAGAGGAAGGCGAGTAGTAATGAGGTCTAACGAACTTCCAAAATTAAACCAAGAAAATTCAAAGTCGATGTGAGGGGGAAAGAAGGAAATTTCCAATTCGGGCAAGGAAATGTGAGGGGATTTTCAAAGGACGGCGTGGGGTATAGAGAAAAGCATGCATAAGACAGTCACGAGGTCAGAATAAAATTCCAAAATTATTTGGTCGTAAATTCAGAATTTCTAAGGAAATTGAGGGAAAAGTCAACGCATTTCAAAAATATTCGTAAAAATTTGCAAAAGTTTGAGGAGATGACAGAAGAGGTAGAGATAAGTTAACAGGAGAATTTTGAAGTAAAATGAAAAATTCCTTAACGTATCTCCGGAATTAAAAGAATTTAAAAGGCAATTTGAAATAAAGTTAAAAAACTAACCTAAATTAAGAAGTTTACGATGAAATTTCATAAAGAGTTAGTGATAGCCACGTAAAGTAGGTTGAGAGAAATTCCAGGATTATCTAGGTCAAATCAAGAAAATTTCTCGACGTGTTACAAGATTAAGATGAATTTCAAAGAAATGTCAAAAGAATTTCAAAAGGATTTCAGAAAGAATTGTAGAATTTCGAAATTTTATAGGGGATAGAAAATAGAGGGAAATTCGACATCAAAAGAATTGCATTTAGTAAATTCTGAAATTTATTTCATGAATTTCTGAAATAAAGTCAAAAAAGGATTTCATATAATAAAGAATTTCAAGTAACTTTTCAGCCAAAACGCCGGAATAAATTCCGATCATGGAGTTAGAAGGAAAGGAAATGAAGATTAATCCTATCGAATTAGATCAAAATTCCGAATGATAGGATGGACAGCATTGTCAGACAAACCCTAAAAGAGAGAATATGCGTCATGCGCATTAGGAATTTTTGGATGATGCAACCGATTAGGCGGGGGGTTAGAGGAGGGCAGGGGAGATGGGGAGGAGGTAAAGGAAGAGGAAAAAGATGAAATCTTTAAGAGAGGTCAGTGAGAGGAAGGGAGGGGATTAGTAAGAGGGAGATAGATTGTGGCATTCTGAGCCACACGGGCCCTAGTTAGGGCCCGGTTCGAGGTAGGCAGGGTAGGCCTAAGGGGACGGCGGTTCAGATGAGGCCCAGGTAGGCCTAAGGGGACGGCGGTTCAGGCAGGCCAGGGGTAGAGGCCCAGGCCAACGGGCACAAGGCCGGTACCGGTCCAGCATAGGACCTACCGACGGCGAAGTTTCAGTGGCTGCCGAGTTTAGGCGCCAAATCCAGTTTTGAATCTGGACCGTCGATCAGATCAATGGTCCAGGCCGGTAGGTACCAGCAGGTAGGAGGCCGGTCCAGCACTACAAAAGGCTGGGTACCAGCCTCAGTACGGAGGTTGGTAGACAGAAGTTAGTCTTCAGGATTACCGTAGCATTTCAGCGTTAGCAAGATTAGCGCAGCGCAGCAGCGTTAGTGCGAGCAGCGAGGAGAAATCAACACAGCGGCGAGGAGGAACCAGCGCAACAGGAACAGCGCCAGCCACCGGCCCAGCCCACAGCCCAACGCCAGCCTCCTGCAGCGCCATAGCTACCGGGACAGGTACCAGGGAGAAAGGCCTCGCCTTCTCTCGCTCTTCCTCCTCCGCCACTCCCTCTCTCTCTCTCTCCTCCTACCCTCTCAGTCCAAGTCCACTCCTGGGTTCCCCTACGGGACTACTACGAGTATGAAGGATGGTTACGAGTTCTGATGACATTGGAGACAGCGACATTGGGACTACAGGTTGAGGACTACTAGTGGGATTTGATTTCATCTTCCTCTGGAGATGTACTTGACATTGTGAGATCGATATCTGAGACACTGTGAGACACTGTGTTCGCGACATTTCGGATTTTCGGTACCTCGGACGTTTCAAGATACCATCTTTGGAAACATTGAGTTGACGTCATCTTCCCTCTCCTCCTCCATTCGTCTCTCTCCGCTCTCCCTTTGTCCGTGGATGACCTCAGACCCTGGCTTTTCGTCTGTGTCCAAGCCCAGGGCTTTCACACCCCGGATGTATGCTTGAGAGTGCCCATTTGCAGTCCAAGTCAGGTCAGAGTCAGTCCATGTATCTCAAGTCTTCCGCTGTATCTATAAACTCTGTATTATTTGGTCGGTTCTGGGAATCTGCTCCATACTTATGACTGTGTTTCACGAGTATGCAACAGTTTGGTATCGGAGCAGACCAGCATTGGATGACTCACCATTGATTGATTGAGTGATTGATTGATTGATTATCTACACGTGCACTCTTTTATCATTAAATCGCAAGTTGCAAAAGTTTCTTTTTTCTCTCGTACTTCATAGTAATTAGGTCGTTTTGAATATTTAGGTTTACGGTCTTCCTCATACTGCGCACAATTAGGGAATCGCTAATCACGATTAACCTAATTAGTGCTAATTAGGGTTAGTCCTAACCTAATCTAACGACCTATCAAGCCTATCGGAAGTAAGTGCCAGCCAGGCACCGTGCCAAGTAAGGCAGATCGGGCCTGAGCACGGCCACATTCAAACTGCAACTTCACGGAACTTTCGCTTTTTGCAAAACACATCTTTTATTGCGATTAAAGGTTGATTCTTTTCAGCAAATTGTGTATCTTCCTACAACCATTGATCTTCTACTTACTTCGCGACCTCGTAATGATGCTAAATCTTCCCGATTAAATTTCGTGAAATTATTAACATCATGTTTAATTGTTTAATCTTGCTACTTGTGCAAATGAAATGGTTTTCACCTTTTGCAGTAACAGCTGCAGACCCCAGGGCTCGATCCCTAGCCCTTACCCTACCGGTGTACAGTATCTGTGTCAACCCCAAGGCTTGAACCCACGACCTGTGTATTTGTAACAGTCAGTAGACTGTCGTAGGGTCCGTAAGTAGCAGGGGTTCGATCTGTAGATCTGTAGAATAGAAGTCTTAGCGAGTTCCAGAAGTCTTAGCTGTAGTCCTTCTAGAAGGTCGAGCAAGTGGGCAAGTGGGCAAGTGGTGGACCAACTGCAGTACGTCCGTAGTACGATAGCGGTAGGATAGCAGTGAGTCCCCATTCAGTCAGCGGTAAGGTCTAGTCAGTCCCAGTCTGGTCCAGCAAGTACCACAAGGGACTGTGAGCACCATGGGCCAATGGACAAGGGCAGACCAACGAGCTTCAGAATAATAAATCAAGCAGCAGCGCCCAGTCATAGATTCATTCCTGCGTGAGCCATGTGGAAGCGCTGCCACAGCGACTTGTGCAAGGAGGTCTGCAGTGAGCCCAGAGCTGAAGTGGGCGAAAGAGAAGGAGCGTAGCATAGCGATAGGGTAGTTGCGGCCATAGCCGCCATAGCTGTAGTGTGTGTGCAGGACTGATGAGGGGTCAGGGGGGTGGGTATTCCTGGGTTGTTCTCCGGAGATTGGTGACGGGCAGCCGTACCTGGGCTGTTTTCAACGCATATGTAATGAGTCTGACCTGGTACAAGGCTTGGATCTGACGATTAAGGCAGGCCAGGACTTTATGTCCTGGTCTAATCGAAGCCAGAAGGCTGCCGCAATTGCGGGGTGGCTGCACAGGATCAATGCAAGTTCGTCCCTGATGCTTCTGAAAATCTTTTATCAGAGGAAGGCCTACCCTTTGGAATTGTTCCTTAGGGTACTGGACAATTTTGCAGTAAAAAGAGGCCCGGTCTGGAAATTGACCGCGGACCTCTTGAGAAGCTTCGCGTGACTTCGACGTTTGACGAGAAAGGCGTACTGTGCTAGTAGTATATAGTTAGTATTGGCCATATTTTCCTCCTCTCACAACAGCTTGACTTCTTCGGTGGTCGTCGCTAATTTAGCACGGCTACCGGTCATTTTTGTCAGGTTCGATGGTTTGATTGGCAGTTCATAGGGTTGGATGGCTTGAAGGCGGGAGACAACGGGATGGGACATCCATAAACTTTTTCCAATTCGACATCCCGCGTTGCGGGTCATGCTATTTACTGTCTTTGTGAGACTGTGTGCATGAGTGATTTGTGTGCACTGCTGATTTTGCCCCTGCGCAAGCGCTTGATAACTGCCGGAGGTTCGCTGCTCCGATTGGTGGTCAGGATTTCGCCGAGATGCGAGAAGAAGACCGAGTATAACTGTCCTCGGAGGTGTGACTTACAAGTTTGAAGACTCTCCTGCTCATAGCTACTCGTTCCAGCATCATGGCCTCTTCGAGTCAAGCCCCTCCATCGGGTGAGGGTAGCGGATCTGGCAGTGGCGGGCGTCGAGTACCACAGTGTTATTCCTGTAAACATTACGGGCACTATGCCCGGGACTGTGGACTGTACTGGAAGGAGGAGAAAGAGAGGGCTGACCGAAAGCGACAAGATGGTGAGGAACAGGGATCTGCACAGCCCTTTAAGGCCGATCAACCGCGAGCAAGATCTATTTCGCCTAGGCGATGATATTGGGAGCCACCTCGAAGATCACCTTCTGCAGATCGTTATGTATTGAGATATGAAGCCCCTAAAGAAGCTAAGGACCCAGCTAGTGAGCTGCTGTCGTTGCTGTTGGTGAAGGAGGCAGCTAAGGAACAGAAGAAAAAGGAGTGGGATGAGTGTAAGAAACAGCGACGAGAGGCGATCGAGAAAGAGGAGAAACTGAGACGCAGAGAAGAGAGGAAGCAACGCGAGAAGTTGGAGAATGATTTGCGTGTGGCAAGAATCATTGATGTGCAAATATCGAAGCGTTGGGGTTCTGTGCGCGCGGTGCAGAATAAGGAAGATAAACAGGAGCGTAAAAGAAGAAAGAAGACTTTGCAATGCAAATTGCGACAAAGACCACCGCGGGAGGTATTTGATTCCGATGAGGAGGTTGCAGTCATCAGCGCTGGTACGGAACACATGGAACTCAGTAGTTCCGCAAGTTCGGGGAACGATGAATTTCCTGCATCGACCCCTCTAACGAGGACTGCTAGGAGGATGTATGGGTCAGCTAAACGCATAGGTGGATCGCATACCTTTCCGGTTGCACCACGCAATATTGCCAAGGAAATTACTTCGACACCTGGACCGGATGCACGCGGGAGGTTTGTTCAAGATCACAAGATGATGCTGGAATCATTGGACTACAAGGAGGTGAAGGAACTTTGTAAGAAGGAACACGTTTCGTACGTTCGTAAGCATCAGGCTATCGAAGATCTTGCCGAGAAATGTGCGGCAGCTGCTTTCGGAAGACCTAAGGTTGTCCCTCCACCGGCGACGTGCGCAACCGATCCTATCTCCAGTAGTACTGATATCGGGTCTTCGTCATCGGATGATGCTGGAGAGAGTAGCGATAGCGAAGCATGAGGTGTTTGGCGTACATGCGAGCTATGGTCGATTTGTCGGGATCTTGTTCGTAGACGTGAATCTTGTCCTCATGTAGATAGCGAGCTCGAGACTAGCCTACGTTGGATCTTGTTTGCTTTGGTGACACGAGGAGGTATACCATGGGGTGATAAGTTTGTGAATGATTGGACTAAGCTTTGTCTGGATAATGACGAGGGGATAGGTAAGGGGGATGGATGTGTATATGTGGGAATCTCACCGTTCTGCAAACCTACGTACATCGGTAAGACCGAGCGAGATATTAATGTGAGGTGGAGTGAGCACCGAAACCGGAGTAGCAACGAAGGTGCGACATGTCACTTTCACCGTTGGTTATGTACTTTTGGGAAGGGAAGCTATGTTCTACTTCCTTTGGTGAAAGCCCCTGTTGAGGAGCTTACGACAATCGAATCTGTGTATATCAAGTGTTGGTCCCCTGTGCTTAACTCGACCAGGCAGAGAAAGACGAATAGTCGACGAAATCGGAAAGGTGAGCGGGAAAGGAAGAAGACAGCAGTCGTAAGGAAAGGGGGGAGTAACAAAGGTATTGAGATCGTAAGTTTACGTGTCAACAAGGACAAGCGAAGTAGTGTGCGTCTGATCAGTTTACTTTTGGAGCAAGACAGCAAGCAGGTGAGGAGCTTTACTCTGACTTCTACGGGTGGTAACACCTGGTTTGACGGATGGAAAAGAATTAAGAGACAGTTTGGGCAATCTTCCGTTCTATGTGGAGGGAAATCCTGTTTATTTCGTGACTGTAAATCTTTCTTAGAACATGGGGGGAGTTTGTCTATGGTCAACCTTCGGAAGTGGAGAGTAAGCAATTGTAAGGGAAAGCGATACCTGGTTTCTTTGCTCAGGAACAAAAGAAAACGATCGTTTGCATCAAAGCGTGATTTGGATTTTCTGGTAGGTCTGTCGCGATTTATAGAGGACTTTGGGAGAAAAAGTACGAGAACCCTTCTAAGACGGATTATCAATGGAGCTATTAAGGAAGGATATGGGTTTGACTTGCAAAAAAATCTTGTTGCTAGAGTTCAGTACGACGATCGAGTCAGTCTGGGGGGAGTGCGTAGGCTCTTGGACGGGAAGTTAGATGGATTGCATTTTCCAACTTCAGTCCGTACAACCCTTAAGCGGAAAGTCAGGACAGTTTGGACAAAAAATCCATCTGTCGCTGACGTGTTGCACAATCATCGACGTTATGCACGCCGTGATGTTTCAGCCTGTACCTGTGTTGATGTGCCGCTGCGGAGGGTGAACGCACATGTGAGGTGTCGAATCTGGGAAGATCCACGTGTCCCGAAGTTTATGCACAATGCTTGCAACATACCGAGAGCTTCTAAGGCATGCAGAGCAGATTTATTGAGGGCGGAATTGATGCAAGCAATGGGAAGTTGGAGAATTGGGGATAAGGACTGGGCGAATGTGGGAGTTGATGAGGCAGCTACATGCATAAATAGGACTAAAGATAGACCGGAGGAGATGAGTGTTGAGGAGGTACGGAGGGTGGGAAGGCTGTTTGGAGGTTTGGTTTAGTGCCCTGCTGATCGTAATCCTGGTGAAACCGTGATTCTTTGCCCGAGACTGTATCATGAGGCCATGCAAGACCTCTTCGTGCGAAGCACCGGTTATGTAGCTCAATCCATATCAGAGTCACAAACTTTGGACAATATTCGGGTCGTTTATCGTGCTTCCAATTTCCAAGTTCTTGGGCGTTGGGATGGGAAGGGTACAATCGGGGAAGGGTATGCCATTCCCAAACATAAAGATCTGGGACGTTTTCGACTGATTTGTCCTATGTTTAGTGAACCATCTGTTTCTGCAGGAAGAAGAATTGCAAAAGGTTTGAACGGTTTGTTAGACACTCTCCCGGTTAATTTGCATTTTAATTTGAAATGTGTCGACCATCTTGCTGCTAAGCTGGAGAAAATTAATAGTGCTGCAAGTAAAGAAGGAAGGCATGTGGAGATGGTGGGAGCTTCATATGACATCAAGGATATGTTCTCCCGCCTTCCCCACATTTCTATTCTTCAAGCTCTTCGCTGGCTGATAGACTGGCATGTACAGAAAGGGAGACACAGCGTTTGGGTAAATCCGAGAGGTAAAGGTGCTTCGGTTTTCAAAGGATCTAAGGAGTTGGGGTGGAAGGAGATTCCTTTTGAAACTTTGTTTGAGTATGTGGAATTTAGCCTTGGTGCCACGTACACCAAAGCATCTGGTATTCTCCTGAAGCAGGAGATGGGTATTCCAATGGGCTGCAGTATGAGCCCACCTCTTGCATGCATTCTGTGTGCTTACTCAGAATGGTGTTTCTTGGACTCTATGGGTGGATTACGTAGGATGGTTCATCGTATTCGTCTTATGGATGACGTGTCCCTGTTTCTAGTATGCAGGAAAGACGACAGAACCTCGTACCTGCAGGCAGCTCGCATGCAGAGACGTTTTGAAAACTGCTACCCCCGGACCCTGTCCTTAAAAAGGACTGATGATGGGTCTGGGGGTTGGGTATTCTTGGGTTGTTCTCCGGAGATTGGTGACAGGCAGCCGTACCTGGGCTGTTTTCAACGCATACGTAATGAGTCTGACCTGGTACAAGGCTTGGATCTGACGATTAAGGCAGGCCAGGACTTTATGTCCTGGTCTAATTGAAGCCAGAAGGCTGCCGCAATTGCGGGGTGGCTGCACAGGATCGATGCAAATTCGTCCCTACGGTATAAGATACCGGGTCAAGTGATGCTTCTGAAAATCTTTTATCAGAGGAAGGCCCGCCCTTTGGAATTGTTGCTTAGGGTACTGGACAATTTTGCAGTAAAAAGAGGCCCGGTCTGGAAATTGACCGTGGACCTCTTGAGAAGCTTCACGTGACTTCGACGTTTGACGAGAAAGGCGTACTGTGCTAGTAGTATATAGTTAGTATCGGCCATATTTTCTTGCTCTCACAACGGCTTGACTTCTTCGGTGGTCGTCACTAATTTAGCACGGCTACCGATCATTTTTGTCAGGTTCGATGGTTTGATTGGCGGTTCATAGGGGTGGATGGCTTGAAGGCGGGAGACAACGGGATGGGACATCCATAAACTTTTTCCAATTCGACATCCCGGTCATGCTGTTTACTGTCTTTGTGAGACTGTGTGCATGAGTGATTTGTGTGCACGGCTGATTTTACCCCTGCCCCCCCCCTGTGCATTGTGTGTGTGTGTGTGTGTTCAAAGAGACGTGTGTGGGATATCTAGGGTGATCCAGGGTATGCGAACAGAGACTTGTTTGGGCGCTGAGTCGCTATAGCCATCGAGAGTGAACTTGTATCTGGACTGTGTCTTCGGCGACCATATCTCTGAGTTCGGTGTGGGCGCTTGTCGCCACTTTGCTGTGCGCCTGTTTGCATACATGTAAAGTGTGAATGAAAGCAAGTCTGATTGCATTGGTATCAGAGCTGGTACCCATTATTCCACGTGCTGCGTCGTGTGCAGGGAGTGATGCGCCATAGCAGAGGTGGCTGCCGAGAGCAGTAGTCCGCCATAGCGGACCTGGAGGTTGGAGAAGCCGCCGCGCACCTGCAGAGAAGACCACGACGAAGAAGAAGACCGAGAGAGAGAGAGAGAGAGAGAGAGAGAGAGAGAGAGAGA